AAAAGAAACATTTAACAACAGAAAATTCATGAATAACCTGGCATTCGTCGCCCCTATCCATGTTTGCTTGCCACGTGACACGTCAAGTCTTCGGGGTTGGAGGGGGGGGGGGGGTAATCCCATATACATGTATGGGCTAGGTAGGTACCGCTGAGGATCTCAAACCTTAAATAGGGTATCATTTTTTACATTGTTGGTTTTGTGTCTTTGGTTTGATCCGTAGATAGGGTAACTCAAGTAGTAATGGATGGTTTGGTTTATCCTTTCCATTTTGTGGAAAAAAAGTAATCCTGAACACCCTCGGAAGAATTGCAAGATCTTACGAGTTGTACGCAGGGAAGGACAAGTTTTACTATCCCCACGGTATTTGCTTTAGGGGGCTCCATAGAAAAAATTGTTTTAAGATGGAATGATACTCCTTTTGTTCCTGTATGGGACCAAATCAAGAGAGAATAATGGACCAAATAGTCAGCCGGCTCAGTGTATGACCCCAAGTGAGTTTTATAAAAACAGGTACATACAAAGGTACTGGCCAGCGACTAATTGGATTTTGTGTTACTTTATGTTTCTGTTGTGGCTCGAGGGTTTGACACTGGTGGCGTTTTTGTTTATTTGCAGTAAATTACATCTTGAATTTTTACAGGCCTCGTCTGATTAAGTTGGCCAAAATATAGAAGCCACTATTACTTCTTTTAAGGTTGCGCGTTAGACAAGGACGGTGTTGTGTCGACCTGTTGTAAGATCTAACAAGGAAAGCTTTCCTGGTGTCCTTATTTGTTATGATTTGTGGAAATTAAATGCCTTTTAATAATGGTTCGTTTGTATCTAGATTCTGTACTCTGACAACGCTCTGTCCAGCGGCACATCCCCGTATTGGCCATATAAGGGAGTACACCCCCAGGTAACCATTGCATGCAAACCATCTAGTACAATAGCAAGGTTTAAGAATACAGAATTTCATACGTCAGATAACTAATCAACATTAATTTACAAAAAAATGGTTAGGACCGCGCATAAAGTTAATTAGTTTGAATGAGCGGAGACATAAATTATAAAAGTAATTTTGTAAGTTACGTGCTTGCAGACGTCATCATCTTTGTTTACGAAGTACCATTCATATTTTGGCATTATATTAATGTTGACAAAGTAAGTTGAATCATTCTCAAAAAATTATTACAAAGTTCAATGGAATTATTACAAATTGCGACAGCTTAGTTTATTACAAAGTGCGATGGACAGTTATTACAAATTGCGATACCTTTTTTTATTACAAAGTGCGACACGGCTTATGACAAATTGCAATAGGTATTACAAAGTGCGATGAATTTATTACAAATAAGGACATGTATTACAAAGCGCGATGATTATTACAAATTTCGACAGTACAATGTCAAGAAGATTTATTAATGGCAAGGGGCTTTCTGTATTTTTCCCATACAAGCTAGGAAAAAATATTATCCTTACAATGTGATTTTGTTTCATTTGAAGAACTTTTATATTGGATTTATAGGCACTGCCCCATACGATAATGGCAAGTCCAAGACCAAACGACGGATATCATTTGAATACATCGGAACCGACATAACTTTCCGATGAAACTCGGTATATGGCTGAAAAATAGGGAGATAATAAAGATGCCTTTAAAAAGGGGCTGCTCGTTTCCACAGTAAAATGCTAACGAAGACGGTTATTTTGGCCGCTTTGTTCAATAACCAGCCAGAATCAAATCTACATGCGTTATAACAAAATGTCGAGCGTAAGATAAAACAAGAAGAACAGGAAAATGTCAAAGAGAAAGAAAAAGAAGAAAGAAAACACCCGTTCTCTGTAAGTGTATAGATAAAGGCTGCGGAACAAGCAAACCAACTGGCGGTACAGGTTAGATTACAGGGTGTTTCAAAAGTTTGTTCAGACACACAGCATTTTATTCTTCTTTAGGCAAATTTAAACTGATTAAAACCTCATTTACAAGCGCTTAAAAATATTGGCACGGCAACACAAATTTTTGGCACTGCGATGGCAATTTTTGGGCACGGCACTGGCAATTTATGACGTGTAAGCGCAACGTTTGGAACTGGTTCGTGAAGTAGTCTTGGCAACCCTAAATTGAGGTGCGGTGGCGAAAAGAGCTGCAGTGCGATCAGTTTTGCAGGGGTTACAACCGAGGAGCATGCGTCGTTTTTACAAAGAGTGAGGCAAAGAACACTCGTGGAATTGCATGATCCGCTGAAGCAACGGAAACCCTTCTTCAATTATGGGCGGAAGAATCAATAAAGTAGTCTTTTGCCGCACAAAATCTTCTAAAGAAATGCGAGCGGTTTACGGAAACCTAAAGGTAAGCTAACGCCTTGTAAACATCTGAGCTCAAATAGCCTGTTCAGCACTTTCGTAGTTAACGGCATGGAATAACCACCTTTTTAAAAAATCACCAGCAGCTGTATTTGTTCAAAGAATATCTACCTGGAGTTTTGAAAACCGGGTTGCCTCAAATCTTAAGTCAAGTCCAGCATATTGCAGGCAATCTTTCAAAACTTTTAAAATTTGCTTCAAGCCGTGATGCTTTTGGTGTAAAAATAAAAATCTCCCTCTTCAGGACTAACCACCCTTAGCTCTTAACCATGGGCTCCAATTAACTTCCTGGAATTGACAGAAACCAGTGGAAATTCCAGGAAATATGTTAAGTGTCATGTTGTTGCACAGACCTAGGGCTATTATCTAGTATGCATTTGGGGTAGCCTGGTTAAATTTCAGGGGGTGGGGTTGTCCTAAAGGCTGTGCTTTGTGCTAGACTGTGGATTTGCTGAGTTTTTGTACCGGGGCTTATTCCTCCCTTTCAAAGCTCAGTGTCTCCTTCAAATTGAGGAGGTTTGTGTCTAGCTGGGTGTCATGTTGTTGCACAGACACAGGGCTATTCTATCTCGTCATCACTGCCCCAGGGATCCCATGAGATAGCTAGACGCATGCGCATAAATAAGTGCTTTTCGCGCGCTTACTCGGTATTCTCACGAGGTTTCGATACGCGAAAGAAAATTATTTCGTCTGTCATCTTTATGCAAATTTGAACCTATTTCTTGCGTTGAATCACTAACACGACATGGATTGAGCGGATCTGGCGTCCGATACAGGGAGCAAAGGCGTAGAAGATTCTCAGGACACGAACATGTCAGTCCTCGAAGGATTAACTTCCACCTTGGCACAACTTGCCAAGGCTTCGGAGACACAAACGGCAATGCTGACAAGTCTCAAGGAAGACCTTCTCCTTCGTATTGACTCAGACGAGGATGGAGAGGCCGTTCAGAGCCTAAATGACAGCGTTGATCTCAACGCCGCCTTAACTGATGTGCTCGACCCGAGCGACACGCATACCAGTACGACCGCGGCGGCGAAACCTGCATCATGCCCTGACTCAGGGTCGCAGGATGACATTTTGGAAAGCCTAACTCAGGCATTTGTGCAAACCAAAGAGAAATCTCCTGCGATAGGCATTGCTGGTTTAATTGACAACATGGTTACTGGAGGTCTCTCACCAAACACAATCAAAGAACGAGTTGAAAAATATCCTCCTCCAGAAAACTGTAAATTCCTGTCCACCACCACCGTCAACGAAGAAATTTGGGATTTGCTGCCACGACGCAGCAGAACGGTTGACCTAGCTTTCCACCGAGTTCAAGAACCACTTGTTCAGGGTTTGTCAGCCCTGTCTATTTTAGGAGACCAGTTGGTAAAGGACCTTCACGCTGGCAAAACATTAAATACACGTCAGATCTTGGATCACGTGATGGATAGCATTGCTCTTCTAGCTAATGCCAATTTTAAACTCAATATGGCACGGCGAGAGTTGATAAAACCGGAACTTAACCCTCCATACACCAGGCTGTGTAAAGATGAAATTAAACCTTCAACAAAATTGTTTGGAGATGATTTATCCAAACATTTGAAGGATATGGCTGAGGCAAAGAAAGTTGGCCGACAAATGCAGAAAACTTCTGAAACTCGAACGGCAGGTCAAGGCTATTTCAAGGCAGGACGGCAGAAATTTCGCCGTCCAAACTTTAAACCTTATGACAGACCATCCAGTCAGAAAACTTCTCAGCAGCGTCCTTTTTTAGGCTACAGCCGGGCACAGAAGAGTGCCCAGAAAAAGCCAAGTCAACCCACCAACAAAACCCAGTAGAAACACAGGTAAGAGAAAACTACCCAACTCCTATTGATAAAGCAAATCTGTCTCAAAGGGTTGCTAATTTCTCGGCTGGAGGGTTACAAGACCATGTTGAAGGTTGGAAGTCACTGACTACTGACCCTGTCATATTAGATGCTATAAAGCACAATCACATCGAGTTTGGGGATGTTTCTCCTTCTCAGGCTTACCAGCCAAAACAAATGCCATTTTCTCCTTCTGAAAGGGAGATCATTACTGAGGAAATCACCAAGCTCCTCGATAAAGGAGTTATTGAACAAATAGACCGTGTCCAGGGTGACTTTATCTTTACCATTTTTGTGCGTCCCAAGAAAGATGGCACTTTTAGAATGATTTTAAATCTTAAACAACTCAACGAATTTGTATCCTATTACCATTTTAAAATGGATACGATTCAGACAGCCCTCAAACTCATGCGTCCCGGGTGCTTTATGGCATCGGTAGACCTTAAGGACGCCTATTATTCTGTTCCTATTGCATTAGAGGATAGGAAATACTCGAAATTTGAGTGGCAAGGTAGCTATTTTTTAGCTGTTTGCCCAATGGCCTGGCTTGTGCTCCTCGCCTATTCACAAAAATACTAAAACCATTCTACTCTCATCTCAGATCTTTGGGTAACATCTGTATGGGGCATATAGATGATTCATTTCTCTTGGGATATAATTATACTGCCTGTGCCACTATTATACAGGACACTGTTGATACCTTCCTTAGTCTGGGGTTTGTGGTTCACCCAGAAAAGTCAGTCCTGATCCCAACACAAGAAATGGAATTTCTTGGCTTCTTGCTGAATAGTATAAACATGACAATCCGACTCCCACCCGTTAAAGCGGAACGTGTACGGCTAGCTTGCCAGAGTTTACTGGACAAAAGAAAAATGACTATTAGAGAAGTGGCACAAGTTATAGGGTTGATGGTTTCTAGTTTCCCTGCCGTTCAGTTTGGGGAACTATACTATAGGGCCCTAGAAAGGAATAAAATTCTTGCTCTGCAGGAAAGTAGGGGCAATTATGATGCACTATTGTATCTTTCAAATGAATCTAGATCAGAGATAGCTTGGTGGGTGAACAATGTAGACTCTTCCTTTAAACCTATTTTCCAGGGAGACCCTGACCTGACTCTTACAACAGATGCCTGTACTAGCGATTGGGGTGCAGTATATGGGGCTCTCAAAACTGGTGGTCTTTGGAATGCAGAGGAACAAGCTTTCCATATTAACTACTTGGAACTGAAAGCAGTTCTGCTGGGGTTGAAATCACTTCTTGGCCATGTTCATGGCAAACACATAAGAATTCAGTCTGACAATACAACCACAGATGCATATGTTAATAACACGGGGAGTATCAAATCTGCAGAGTGTGACAGTTTGTCTAAGGAAATTTGGCTGTGGTGTATAGAAATAGACATCTGGATCAGTGCTTGCCACATACCCGGCTCTACCAATGTAGATGCTGACACTGAATCTAGGAAAATTAACAATTCAACTGAATGGTCTTTAAACATGGACGTCTTTTCAGACTGTGGGGCCCTTTTCAAATCGACCTGTTTGCATCTAGACTTAATTTTAAAGTTCCCAGTTATGTGTCATGGAAGGCTGACCCTGGTGCTCAATATGTCAATGCATTTTTCATGAGTTGGAAGGAGTAATATTTCTATGCTTTCCCCCCTTTTAGTGTTATAGCAGCCTGCCTACAGAAAATAGAGCAAGATCAAGCAACTGGTGTCCTTCTCGTTCCTGTTTGGCAGACACAACCTTGGTTCACCCCTCTCCTTCACCTGTTAGTAGACAATCCTGTTCTTCTCCCCCAGTCGACTCATCTGTTGACACAACCACACTACCATGCCTTACATCCCCTTCGACGACAGTTGAGACTGATGGCTTGCATGCTCTCCGGGAAAGTCTCCAGCAGAGAAATGTTTCAGGCAAGGCTACAGCAATCATCCTCAAGTCCTGGTCTGACGGAACACAAAAACAGTACAAACCCTACATCAAACAGTGGATGGACTTTTGTAGTAAATGGAAGACTGATCCCTATGATCCACCTGTAACCGTTGTTTTAGAATTCCTCGTTAGCCTCCATGAAAAGGGATTGACTTACACCACCATCAATACTGCCAGGAGTGCCATATCAGCAGTTACTATACCCAAGAGTAACATGACTGTGGGCAGTCACCCACTTGTTTCCAGGTTTATGAAAGGTGTTTACAAGGATTCTCCGCCAACTCCACGCTACCGGTCAACCTGGGATGTAAAGCCTGTCCTAACTTATCTTTCCTCCCTTCACCCTCCAGAGAAGCTTGATTTAAAATCACTCACTCTAAAGCTGGTTATGCTGATAGCCCTGGTCTCTGTACAAAGGGGACAATGTTTACATATGCTTGACATTGGTTGCATGAAAAAAGTGACTAATGGATTTGAATTCTTGTTCATGGAACATGTCAAACAAAGCAGGCCTGGTTACCGAGCTCCATCTGTTCTCCTGCAAGCTTATCCTGCTGATTTGTCACTGTGTGTGTCTACTTGCTTGGCAGAATATCTTAAGCGAACCCAGCCACTAAGGGGAGCGGAAAGTAAACTTTTTATTAGCTTCATCAAACCTTACAAACCTGTTTCCAGGGAAACTATTTCTAGATGGATTCGTTTGATAATGGAGTCGTCTGGTGTTGACACCAGTGCATTCAAACCACACAGTACAAGAGCTACAGCTACGTCGAAAGCCAAAGCTTCAAATGTCCCCATTGATGAAATCCTGCGTACAGCTGGATGGTCGTCCTCAAGGTGTTTTTACCGTTTCTACAATAAGCCAGTCGGTACCTCCACTTTTGCTTCTGTAGTGCTTCAGACTGATTAGAACAAGGACTAGGGCCTTTACTTCTCTGCCCTGTTGCTACTGTTTAGTGATTCCCTATAACGTTGATTAGGTCCTACAACTTAGAGGTTTTTTCAGGGTTATTGTGCTTTAGCCCTGTTGTTTCTATTACTCAGTGTGTTCATATAGCATTATTTGTAAGCGTTTTTTGTTCCTTATTTTTATGGGATACAGTTCGTGTTACTGTTAGTACTGTATAGGGTTGTTTATGCATTAAACACCTTGCAGTTGGCCTTTGGGTGTTTTCTTCACGTGACTGTCTTGGCTTTAAAGTCTCATGGGATCCCTGGGGCAGTGATGACGAGATAGAATTGAGAAATTAAACGAGACTTACCTGTAAGTTGAAGTTTGATTGGAATTCTATCGAGTCATCAAACTGCACCAAGGGATCACATGCCCACCCTTTGTACAACCAGTCATGGTTGATTTTGTCGTACGCACCCTTTGTCCTACTGAGGTTTTACCTCGGTTGGCTTTCTGATATTACCCCCTTTTATGGGTGTTTGTTTGTAAGACACTTACATTCAGCTGTGAATACTGATTATGCGCATGCGTCTAGCTATCTCATGTGATCCCTTGGTGCAGTTTGATGACTCGATAGAATTCCAATCAAACTTCAACTTACAGGTAAGTCTCGTTTAATTTCTCAACTATCTGGTATGCATTTGGGGTAGCCTGGTTAAATTCCAGGGTGTGGGGTTGTTGTAAAGTTTGATGTGTTTTCGCACTGTTATGCAGTCTGTTTGTTCTGTTTGCATGCAAGCAATCACCCACTCTGTTGATAATGTTCCAAGTCAGCAAGCAGTTAAATTGGTGGTTGTAGGACTTGGTTTTGTTGAAAAGTGTTGGTTTAGATTGTTTTTGGGGGACCAGTCGCAATGAAGAATGGCGTTAACTTGTGGAAATGGCTTTGCAATCGCTGAGGCTAAATTGTCCCTTAAAATGCCTTATTTTCCAGACTAATGAGGAAAGCTTTACTTTTGTTACCTTCAAGACAGACGTTTCTATCAAATGGAAGTTCATGTATTCAATCATTTTTGAGGTGAGATTTTACTTTTCAAGTAAGAAGGGGCATTAAATTACCAATCAGTGCGAGAGACTGACATGAATTAGTAGCCCAGTATATGTAAGTTGATATTTTTCCGCCGTGCTTCTGAGAATGTGTGTGAATTCAACCTGCAAACACTTCTGACTGTCTTTCATATGCCTTCTATTACTTATTCTTTAGGTGCAGATGGAAAATAGGAATTTTCACAATTTCATCATGAAAGATCTAGTTACCAAATTGAAAAAAAGTACGCCAAAAATATAAACAGGAAGAAAGACAAGTCAAGCAAAAGTGGAACAGGGAGAAGTATGAAAAGGAGGTATTTTGACATTATGGACACCACAATGTCCGACAAGCCACAGGTCATACCACCTCTCATCATCAATTCCTCTATACCTTCCACATCTGAACCACCCAGTGCTACATCTGTTGATGAGAAACCTTGAGTTGGTAAGCCTGTAAGGTTTTTATGTTTTTGGCCCCCGCCGCTCATGTTTAAACTTGAAAAGGTTCCTTACAGCCATCCTAATTATTTTGAATTGGGGGAGTGAGGACTGGGTGATTTACTTAACTGTCTCATTCACTGCATATTAAATGAAACTGTATTACATTGAGTTTATTAATTTCAATTACCTAATCCCCGCAACACAGATAATTTGCAATTCTCAATTATTTGGTATGTTTTGTTTTCTGTAGACAATGATGATGCAGATGATCACGATAACAATGAGAGTGTTGGTTCTCACCAGTCGACCTGCAGTGAAGATCGAGGTGTGTATCAAGCGTTGGTAATCAATCAACCAACGAAACAAGCTTTTTGCTCTTGTTGTTTACTAGTTGTTGTTCGTTAACTATCCCACACGTCCATTAAAAGAATAGTTATTTCCTTTTAAAAAAGAAATTAGATGCAAATGTTTTACACATCTTAACCGTGGTTGACAAACTTTCAGTTGGCATTCTTTATTTTGAGGGAATTCCAATATTCTTTAAGAGTTACTAATGATGTAACTAGAACATGCATTCTTCGGACAAGCTTGCATGCTATCATCATTGTAATTTTATTGTTCTTAGAAGAAGTATATGTGACTAGGAAAGCCACGCTTCAACTGCATTTTTCTTGTAACTTCCCATTAACTTTATTACTTCTTTTTACACTGTCCCCGCTAAATAATAATAGTCAGACCCTGGAGGATGCTCAGGAACCGACGAAAAGTGAACGTAGAGATTGTGTTAAAATCGAGCCGAAAGTACCCCGAAAGAAATGTAAGACGCCAAACATTGAAAAGAGCCTTGATGTGTTCTGTAAGAAGTTTACGCAGATCTCAAGGAAGAAACTGAACGGTAAGAGTTCATTTTTGCAACATTTACAGTCTAAACGTGTAACTTGGATCGAAATATCCTTATAAATTAGGTTTAGGTTTAGACTCCCTTCAAACTGAGCAAATAAGAGGCTTTCCTGTTATCCACAAATAAAACAAAGCTGTTCATATCCTGCCATCAACCTGTTAACGGCAGGATATGTACAGTATTAGCTCCATTTCTTTTTATTATCTTGGTAGACTACCTGCTGCTAAGGTCTACAGATGGTGATATAGACTCTGGAGTGCTGACTTGCCCTCGTAAATCAAGTAGGTACCCTGCAAAGTTTTAAATGACTTGGACTTTGCAGATGACATCGCCTTGCTTGAGTCGTCCATCTTCCGTGCTCAGTTCCAGCTAACCAGAATTGCCAATGCTGCTGCTGACCTTGGACTTGTCATCAGTGCTCCCAAGACTGAGTATATAACGATCAACTGCTGTCCACAGCCTCCACTAGAAATATATGGTAGTACAAACAATCATGTACAAGACTTCAAATACCTTGGCTCCATGATGGCATCTAGTAGTGGGGATCTCAAAAGAAGGAAAGGGCTTGCATGGACAGCTTTTTGGAAGCTGGAACGTCTGTGGAGATGCCCTAACATCTCTATCTCCACCAAGATCAAGCTATATAATACTACCTGTGTCACTGTCCTTCTATATGGCTGTGAGTCGTGGGTCCTGTCGAAAGCAGAGGAAAGCGAGATCAATGCCTTTGGTACCTCATGTTATAGAATTATGCTCAACATCAAGAGAATTGATAGGGTGTCCAATGCTAAAATCTATGATCTAACTCAGACTGCCACGCTAGTAGAAAATGTCAGAACCCGCCAACTGAGGTTTTTGGGTCATGTACTCAGGATGCCTGATGATAAGCCATGCAAGGAGTACGCACTGTATATTCCACCACATAGGAAGAGGAAACCAGGAAGGCAACGGACCCTGTTTCTCAGATACATTCAACACCTTTTGGGAGACACAGACAACATGATTGGTCCGGGCAAGCTGTCTGAATTGGCAAAGGATCGTTGTGGCTGGAGGAAGCTCGTAGTCGCCTGCTCTGCAGCCGACCGATGATGATGATGGAATGGTTACCTTTGTTCCCTGGGGTAATGAAAGGCAACGTTTACAAATGGAGCATGAAATGAATGTCCCAAGATTAATCTTGGATCAACAGCGTCCGCCACCTGCAACGCCTGGTCAGGCTATCTCAAAGGAGAGAGCTTTCTGCTATGTTCAATTTTATCCCGTGATGTCAGCCACTTCTAGTTATCAATCATCTATCCCTATTAACCCTGGTATGGACGAAGTGTCCCTCGACTCAGATAGCTCTAGCTTTACTACCTTGTGATAGTCGTAGTCAAACGAGTAATGATTAAGGGTAGATTTACGATTGCCACAAGCGGTGTTGGTTTCTGATGACTAATTTCCTTATGTTCCCTTTAAATGAGACAAAATGTTGGGTTGTACAAAGCTTTTCTTCGGTAAAGCGAATTTACGGCAAAGTGGAAAAAAACTTGAAGTAATTATTCGAAGTTTCCATGTATTCAACATCATTATCAACAAAGAAAAAACGTCTACAAAGTTGTTAAAGGGTGACTTGAGTTCCTGTTTGAACAACATTTATTCAACAAATTTGAGTGCCTTGTTGACGAAATGTTGCTCCGACGCAGGACCTCTCCAATTTTTCGCAATTTATGGAGAAATAGCAGAAATCACAATTTTTGCTGGGTACCCTTCTACCTCCTTTAACCCTTGAATTTGCAATTTCTCGAATTTTTCGCAATTTTTTGCCGCCGCGTGCATACATGGTCATATCTCTTCTTGCATGCGTAATGAACCGTACTACGTGAATTCACACGCGAGGCAGTTACGAAATTTCTTCCAGCTCAGTTTCCCTGAATTTGATGTAAATGTCTTCTAAGAAATTTAATCCATTCAAAGACTTTCAATCTGACCTAAACAGAGAAGTTCCAACACGAAGTAAACAATTAAGAAACAACTGCTGAAGAATGGAACAGAAAAGGAGCAGATTGCAGGCCCAAAGAAGAAAATTAAGGACAAAAGTCGACAGGTACATTTCTATAGGTTTTTGTGAAAGGATAATTTAAGAGGTGAACTATGCCAAGGCCAAAAGTACAGTCCTCAGAACATAAAAACAGGCATTACAAACAAGTGTAAGCCGAAAATAATTTCCAGTATCATAACTGCCGTGAAAAAAATGACTCAAGTGTCAGTTTGATTTGGTTATTGAATGGCAAAAATGATGACATAAAGCGTCTTGATTGTTGTCTCACCGTAAAGTGCATGGCAGCTTCATTACATTGATCAGACTCTGTTGTTGCATGAAGTGACAGGAAGGCTTATAAATATCAATACATTGCTGCAAATACTGTAATGCTTGAACGTTCAACTGCGAGTGTCTTGACTATGTTGTTTCAGAACATATATCTCTCTTACTTAAAATGATTTAACCTTCACACCGCGGTTTCTTTAATCATTATTACTCATATTTAACGTCAATATTCTTTTTACAGCTCAATAACTCCGTAAATACACCAATATGGGATACTAAAAGGGCATCTGCGCTTGCAAATGTATCTGTGCCAAAACCGTCCGCCCATCATCTGATCATGGTGAAGGCCGAATGCGAGACGGATCAGGGCTCCTCTGAACTCTCCACAAGCTCTATTGAAATCAACGAAGCAGGAAGCACCGATAGCCCTTCCCCAGCTGATCAAGACAGCCATAATATTGGTAGTAAGCCTGAATCACTGAATCCACCCGAAGTTGACTGATGAATTTACAGTCCCGGCAGATGTAAGTAATTTATTCCTCTTAGAAGTTGAATTGATAAAAATCAGTGGTGTAGTAACTCATTATTGCAAGAACAAAAATAATG